TTTTAAAACGTTTAACAGTCAGAGGAAGTTTAATAATCACACACAGAAATCTGCTCAATGGACTGAATATACAAGACCTGATGGTGGCACTAAAGAGATCTGCAGTGAGCTTCATCAACCTTTTCTCATCTAAGCCCCGCCCCTTTTTGCTCTGTGCTCCAATCACAGTTGAGCAAGCCTCAGTCAACTTCCTTCTTTTCCTGTACTTAGATATGCTACATGCTAGGCTAATCTATGTTGAAAAGACAGCGACATTTTAAAGATGATTAAAAGATAAGAGAGACAAATATGTAGTCACATCTTAAATTAGCTAATGTTAGCAAAACTAACTAGCTAGCTAACCTGCATCAGTAATTAGGTAGTCAGCTAGCGTTGTGCTAACATTAGTTATCAGATTTAACTACTACTTTCAGTATTTAACCATAAATAATTCAAATAACAACCTCTCTCTGGTTCCTGTGCAGTATGTTAAACTACACATTGTTCACATACTTCCCCACATTAATATCTCCACAATGGGGTGGACTGGCCCCACGGCTCGCATTAAACCGTTGAATGGATCGACGGCCGGTCCTGGCGTGTTTTTATTGGACGAATTCTTCCGTTTCTGTTGATCTGCTCTTACAGACGTGTGACTGTTACTGTAGAGAATGAATGCACTTTACCGTAGAAGAGCTGAGCTGCAGAGAAAACAGACTGCTGAGTAAATAACTATCGTTGATTTAATGTGCAGCTTGTTTTTTTTTCTGGAAACGCCTCGAGGCTGCAGCAGCTGGACAACCACTTTCCCAGGATGCTTTACTGCTCAAAGACCCAGAAGGGCTCAGTGTACATATATATGTGTGTGTGTTCAGTCACTTGGGCATATATCCAGATGGTACCACTGCTCCACTGTCCTGTTGCTCTGAGCTCTGCACACTCACATACAGGTTTGTACTTGTATTCTTGTAAAGAACTTCATTGACATAGCACTCGCTGAAACCCTAAAACCAAGTCTGAAGGTCTGGTTTCAGGGTTAGTTGGTTCCTGTAGCTGGCTAGCTAAATGCTAATATGCTAGCCCTCCAGGAACATATGACAGCTTAGTGTCTGTGGAGCTTTTCAGTCATCCAGCCCAAGAGTGAACCCATTGGTTTGTGGAGTCCCGTTTTGAAGCCTCGAGTTTGGCAGTTTGTCGCAGCCAGTGCAGTACTGCGAGTTGAGCTGCTCTCATTGGCATCGCAGTTTTGACTCATCTGTAGCAGAAAACAATGGCAGCTCGTCTGGTTTTGGATCAGCACTGCCTAATTTGTTGAGTTTGGTGCGTTGAGCTGGACGGACTCACTGAGAATGAGTCGATCACAAGGTAGCCCCGCCCTAAAGCATATCCTGCTTTGACGAATTGATGACAAATATAGACTTGCAAAGGCCTTGAGTCAAGAGCAACTGGATTTTAAGTTCTTAAAGATATTTTTCTGCTCATCCAAAACTTCAGTTCCGACTCACAACTCTCCAATCTTGCTGTCTGTTTGCAAGCTGGCCAGTAGAGGGTAATATATCCAACCGCTGGCCAACGGAAATAAATCCAAGGGTTAGTTTTGTGGTTCTCTGACAACTCTGAAGTCACTTACCGTAGTCCGGCGCTCCTGTCTGATCCAGATAAAGGTCAGCCTCAGAGTCGGGTGGTTTGATGGAGGGTCCACAGAGTAATTAAAGGATGGAGGTGGAGAATAATCCAGTACTGTAGAGGGTTCACTGGGCTCCACTGGTGAGCCCTTTTTGGTTTAAATGCCGGCACTGATATTCCCTGAGCTGACTGAACCTGGGCACGGTTGCAACACTTTAAAAATACATACAAAATCACTAATTAACAGCACCGTTTAGTAAAAGTGGTGCCAAAGGAGGATGTACGTAAGAATTTTAACATAAAAAAATAAAATAATGGATCGTCAGACATTTGGAGCTGATTAAGGAAGTAGCTAACGTCATATCATACCAATATTCATAATGTGTACAATACGACACTTAGCTTCTTTTATGAGAGTTACGAGTCTAGCATATGGGAACAATATAACTGAGGATGTGATCTTAAAGGGTTAAAACGACATTTCACCTGGACTTTAAAGACGTAGCTCTCAGCTGAATGAATGTTAACGGTTATAGTTTTTATTTCAGATTGACTCAAACAGGATAATTCCACTTTATTCAATACTTTTAGAGAGCGAAGTGCTTTCCTGTCTGCAGAAATGAAACATCTTCTATCTGCTGAGATCATGAACCTGTTGAACTTCTGGGACATTTGGAAACACATTTACGTTCTAATTTAATTTAATGGATTCAAATTCGGCGTTTAACTCGTCCGTGTGTGTCTGCGCGGCGCTCATTGGAAAGGGCATAAGCAGACTTCTTGTTCTGCTGAAACTCAGCACCCGTCTCCCCCCGACTCTCCTCCCTCCCTCTCGCTCTGTTCGCTCCATTAAACTGAAGCCACCAGCTACATGAATACCCATGAACAGCCAGGAGCTCTGCCAACAGCTCCATTACAATGTGCACTCCACCTCCTCTTCATCCCTCCCTCCCTCTCTGTTTTCTCTACCTCTCTTCCCCCCTTTTTCCCTCCCGCTCTTCTTTACTCACTTTGAATCTCTCACAAACTACATGGCCAAAAGTATGTGGTCAGCGGCGTGACGTGGTTGTGACTGGGTTTTGAATAAAAAACAGTTCAGTTTTAGTCGTGATTCATCTCAATTGTTTCAGTTTTAGTCAAGAAAAATGTGAAAAATCTTGTTTGTTTTTTTTACTTTAACCGGATGAAGGATTTTCGTCATGGAACGTCTGGATCTTAGGTTATCAGAGAAACACGCTGAGCTAACTTTAGCAGCAGATCAGCTCAGTCCATCCATGATATCATAACGTGGGACCTGTTAGCTTTATCCTCTGGTTTATAAAAAGGTTTAACAAACTATCTGTTTGTCTGTTTCTTTATTCTGACTGAGGTGTTTAAATGGAGCATTTTTATTCTGTTTGGACTTTTAATTAAAATATTAGGCTCCATTTAAATCTAATGTTTTCCAGCCTGGTGTAAAGTTATTCTTTAAAGAGATTATGAACATGAATATATCAGCAAACAGCTGTTCTCTATATACAGACACAGACCTCTGCTGTGTTGTATCGCAGCCTCTCTGTGGTTTGTTTCCATATGGAGGATTTATTTCCACCAAACCAGAGTTGGTGATTGTTGGAAACACTAACAGAGACACTCTTGGGGAGTTTTATTTAGTTTCTGTCCACTGTGAAGTCTGTTTTACAATTATCTGTTAAGTAAATGGTTTTGTGAGTGGAGTCTGGTGGCCCGTAGGGATGCTGGACATTGTCCATGTGGCCGAGCTGACTCTGGCTGTCTGATGTAATAATCTCATCTGAAGAGAGTGAGACCTGCAGATTTGAATTAGTTCAGTCTCTTCCTGACATGTAGCCAGACCGCTTACGCTAGCTAGCCAGCTGTCTGCAGATGTCAAGTCACACAAACAGCAGCAGATGAATTAGAGAGCGGAAATTCTTTTCTGCTCGCTGCAGAAACTAATTATTAAAGTGGCTGCGCTGTACTTTATCTTCATCATCTGGTGCTGACAGTCAATAGCTGTCCATAAGCACTATCGGTTTTAAATATGCAGCCCTGCAAGTGGTGCAGGAAATTTTTATTATGCTTGCTTGACTATTTATCTCTTTTAAAGTATAAAATATACTATTTATATATAATATTTCTGTGTAATACAGGAAAGAAAGTTAAGGAAATCTTAACCAAGATAGAATAGTGTCAAAAGAAACAGAAAAACAAATAAAATGTCCAGTAAGACTTTAAATTAAGGTGCATTTTCACCATTAACTTGCTTATTTGCAAACATATTATCAGCATATTGGCTCATTATTAATCATTATAAATTCCCTCTGAATTATGACTTAATTTAGAGTTATTTGACATTAACAAGAATAGACCTCATTTATTAAAGATGTAACATTCCCACATTAAACAGTGTATAAACTCCAGAGTTATGTTCTATATGTAGTTAACTTGTGTATTAACATTATTCCAAATGTTTCCAACAATTACAGATTGTGCGTTGAAGTGTTATTAAGAGAGAATATACTACCGCTTTATATACTGAGCAAAGAACATTAAGATCATAATTAGTAGTACAACAACGTCCTCAATTAATATCAATAATTAGTAATTAGGAGGCCGTTTAGGGAAAACTCTTCATGTAGTAGTTGAGTGTAATAATGCAGAATAAGCCATTAATTAGTGCTTTATAAAGAGCTAATAAGTAGCTACTTAATAGGGAATGTGTGTAACCTCTGGCTCCTTCACCTTATACTTTCAAAATAAAGCTTTCCTGAAGGTTAACATTGAGAAACATTTGCAGTTTGTTAAGTTTAACCACAAAAACTACTTGTTAGGGTTAATTATTGGAGATTAGTTATTCTCTCAGACTTGAAAAAGCTCCACCAGAGACATTAAACAACTTCTTTTATGCCTCTTTAACAACCCCAGACTTTAGTTTTTGCCTCCTCCTCAACCTCCCTGTCGACATTATCTCAGAGTGCTGCAGCAAGTTTCCCTTCACCGAAACAAAGAGGACACTAAAGTATCTGTCCACATACTTTTGGCCACATAGTGAGTGTCTCTTTTTCCTCCCCAGGCCTCCTCCCCTCTCCCTCTCTCTCCCTTTCTCTCTCTCTCTCTCCCTGTGTGTGTGTGTGTGTGTGTGTGTGTGTGTGTGTGTGTGTGTGTGTGTGCTCATTTGCCTCCTGTATTTATTTCATTTTGTCCTCTCTGCTGCTGGTTCCTCCCCCTTTCCAGTGAGGGTAGAGAGGGATTTCTGAGCCTCCCCATTGGTTCACAGTGAGGACAAAGCCCCTCCCTGCTCCCCTCTCCCTCCCTGTCTCTCTCTCTCTACCTCTGCCTGAGCGAGAGAGAGAGAGAGAGAGAGAGGGAGGGAGAGAAAGGGAGGGAGGGAGAGTGAAAGTGGAGAGGCAGGCAGGCAGACTTGTTGCAACAGATGGCTTTACCAGCGGCGGCTCGGCGGCGGCTGCACCGAGGAGGAACTCTGGGACGCCGTTGAAGACGGAAGGTGGAGAAAAAAAGGGGGGGGGGTGGCAGAAAGTCACACAGTTCTTCCTCCCTCTTCATCCACAAACTCTTCCTCTCCGGACAGCCAGGAAGACATGTCAGTGTGAGTTTTGTAGCAGCAGTTTTATGGAGGAGAGGACTGTGTGATCCTTCATCCTCCTCTTCCTCCTCCTCCTCTTCCTCCTCTTGCTCCGGGGGTCAGAGAGGAGAACACCTGCTGACAGCGAGGAGCTCCTGAAGGAGGAGACGCAGCAGCAGCAGCAGCAGCAGCAGCAGGAGGTACAGGAGTGTTTATTCTTCATCATTTTCCTGCAGGAGCGTCTGTGCTAACGCTGCTCTGATAGTGAGAGTGTGTGTGTGTGTGTGTGTGTGTGTGTGTGTGTGTGTGTGAGATCCTCAGTTCTGCTCTACTTCACTGTGTCTGCGGTCGGAGCGGCTTCGGTACTGTGCTCCACTTTGCTCCTCGCCGTAGTTTTGAGGCCATGTTGTACTTACACTTGTCACACTTGTTTGCAGGAGTAACTGTCTGTGTGTGTGTGTGTGTGTGTGTGTGTGTGTGTGTGTGTGTGTGTGTTTATTGCTTCCTGCTTGCAGGACACGTGGGAGTGTGTTTTAGCTGCGCAACACTGAGGTCAGTGAGGAGAGGGAGGGAGGGAGGAGAGGGAGAAAGAAAGAAGGGAGGATGAATGAAGGAAGGAAGGAAGGGAGGAAAGCTGTTCCACCCAGCTCTGTTTTTATTATAATCATATTTTTTATGCTCCATTTTTCCGAACTAAGTAACAAAGAGCTTCACAGGGAATATAAACCTACAGAGCAGCCAGTAAAACAGACGTAAAAACAAACAGTGAGGCTGTAAAGAAACCAAAATGTAAGAAAAGTTTGTGATCTTCAGCCTGAATTCAACCAAATTCAACAAAAGTTCCAGTTCCCGAGTTCAGCACGATGGACGTTCAGGGTTCCTATAAGTCCTGGAAAGAGCAGTTTGGAAACACCTGGAAGTTTGTTAAAATCACCAAATATCCTGGAAATAATCATGTTTGTATGAGCGAGAACGCGTTATCGTCCACATAAAGAGTGAATCCAGACCCTCTCTGTCGCCCCCTGGTGGCTGACCGCAGGACAGCAAATACAGCCTCCATGTTAGCAGATGGGACAAACAAAACAAATCTAATCACAAATTACATTTTATTCCAAAAATTCTGATCATTTAAAAAAAAAAGGAGGTTTCACAGCATGACCGTCAGCTGAGGCGTCAATACCGATACCGTCAGCGGCTGTTCGTCTGGGGAACATGGCTGCCAGTCGCCATCTTTAAAGCCACGTAAAGCTCCTAATTCTAGTTTTCATTTCAAGTTTTAATGGAAGAGGGAAGAAGAGAAAACAGCATCAGGTGTGAGTCAATAATCTGTATGAGGACTCAATATATTCCCCACCAAGAGGTGTAGAAATAAAATGTTCCGTGGTTCATGTTTATTTTTAAAAGTGTGTTGAACCGAACCAAAATCATTTTTATGAATTTCCCACAATTCCAACAGGTTAGCGTCCAATGGGGAAAAACTTCATACCAAATAAATAATAATGTGATTAGATTGACAACTAATGCTGAACTTTAACAAAAGAACAGATTATCCTTAAATAAAAAAAAGATGTAAGTTTATACATATACATATTTTGTTGATTTCTTTCAAAATAAAAGTCTGCATTTACACTGAATCGTGGATTTAAGAATTAAACATAGAAACTACAGAAGTATTTGTCTGAGTGCTACTAAACTGACAGTCTTTAACAAACAGATATCAATTGAACATTAATATGAAATAAAGCACATGTTACATACTTTGTGCCGTATACTGGGGACAGATTGGTTCTCAGTATTAAATACATTGTTAGCAATCAAACACACAAACAGTTCCAGCTTCTCAACTGTTTTTCACTATTTTCAGACAGTTTATTTTAATTTGTGGCCTTTTTCTCCTGTTTGAATATTTCTGATAAAAAGCCGCCTGAACTCACCTGCAGACGTCTGACAGAGTGACTCCAGCATCAGGAATACTGCGGTGGTCGGCGGTTGGCGGGAACTGTTATGATTTGGTCACTGGGTTCCCACCAACACACACACACACGCACACACACACACACACACACACACACACGCACACACAGACACACACACACACACACACACACACACAGACACACACAGGAGGGTAAATAAGGCTGATGGCTACTTTGCAACCGCTGGAATGTAAACATTCACTGACCCTGACTCTCAAATATTAACACACACACACACACACACACACACACACACACACACACACACACACACACACAAGCTGTTGGTGGCAAAATGTTAAATTTCATATAATAAATTATTAAAAGTTGTAGTCGCCATTAAAATGAAACTACAATTAACTAACATGTATGTAACATTACGAGCCAATGGGAAGAGATTGAGACGCTAACAGAATCTTATGTGTAAAAAATTAAAATAAAAGTGAAATATAACCCAAAAAAGTTACAATATTCAAATATACAAAGAAAATATAACTTTATCTTAAAGACGTTTGTTAGCGTTAGCATTTTAACATTAGCAAGGTGTGAAAAAAGGAGTTAGTCAGCTGATTAAAGATGAGCTTTTATTTTGTTAGTTTGTTAGTTTCTACAACAAACATTAGGCTTAGCTTAGCTGCTCCAGCATGCTAACATTACCTGTAACATCAACAGTTAATTAACAAACAACAAGACAGAATATTCTACCAGTTTTAGTTGAAATATTACGTTGACACCATTTAAACACTTGAGCATTAAATCTAAATGAATATGTTTTAAGTATTCTCTGGCCGCGGCGTCCAGCGCTCTGCCGCTGAGGGACTGTAATTAACGGCGCTCACTGATGTTGGCGTTATTGATGGGTCCCTATTGATGAGCGTGTGGTCTGACTGACGGCCGTGTGCTGTGTCAGGACGGGGATTAACAGGCAGTGTGAGTCCTGCTGTGTGCTGCTCTCGGGGGTTTTCCCTCCTCGCTGTCCGTGGCGAGGACGGAGGACCCGTCGACAGATATTTCAGTCCAACAATGAGCAGAAAACGAGCAGCTCTGTGTGAGTGTCGCTGCCTTCTCGTTGTCCTTTGACCTCTCGACCTTCTGTTCTCTCCGTCTTTCTGTATTTCCACTGTTGTCAAACTGTCTCTTCACATTTAGTCAGAAACGCCGTCAGCTGGTTTCGCGACATGTGACTGCGACTGCACGTGAGCTCGGACTTACTTCATGAAGAAAAGCTTTACATTCCTTCTGCTTTTAGCCTCTTTGTCCAAAGGTTTCAAAGCTATGAATGAGTTTAGTGGAAGTAAAGAAAGTCATTTTAACCCTTTAGGATCACATCCTCAGTTATACTCTTCCCATAGTTAACTATTTATCCCAAAGACGTTCACAAAAACTCGATTTCTTTGTGTTTTTATATCTAAATCTAATCATTTAGTGTGTATGTGAGCACAGGCTGATTTCAACCGACAATATCGGGACATCCACAATCAATCTTCAGCTTTTAGTGACGCAGAGTGAAGATTCATCAGTTAGCTAGCTCACTGATTACAGACACAATCAGTGATTTGGGTGAAACTGGATCACAGCGGTACAACGAGGTGACATTTCCTCCGTCAGCACTTAACATAAGTAAAGAAATATAAGATTATAGATTATAGATTATAGATAATAATAATAATAATACTGAGAGCTGGAAGATGTTGAATCGTCGTGTTTTGAGTTGAGTTCCTGTTGAACAGAACGAGTCGCAGGTTTGATTCCCACTGAACACACAGTGACCTCACCGCCCGGTGTCAGCTGATCCGGCCTGGTCCAAGGTCGATACCATGGCAACAGAGCCTGGTGACCTTTAAACCTGCTGCAGCCTGCCACTGTGTGTGTGTGTGTGTGTGTGTGTGTGTGTGTGTGTGTGTGTGTGTGATTCCTCTCAGCATTGTTTTATGTGTTCGATCGTTTCTGCTCCGACAAACAGATGTTTTAGTTTGAAAATCAACCTTCCACAATAAAAGTCAGGGACAGAACTTGTCATTGATCACCAGTGTTTTTTCGTCATCATCAGTGTGTTTGTGTTCTGTAATTTAATCTCCTTCATTGTTAACATCAATGTTTCCGTTCTTAAAGGAATTCAAATCACAATAGAGAAGAAGAATAGACTTATTTTGACCTGGGGGGCATAAAGTTTGTGTCTCAGCTGTCCGGTTTATTTAACTCTAACACAGTTTATGGATCCCAGCATGCAGAAATATTCAAATACACTAAAATAACACATTTATACAACAAATTGCTGCTACTGGTTGGTTCCCATAGAGCCCATTTACTTGAGGTCAGAGGTCAATGGATCCCTTTTTAAATGGTTATTTAGCCTCCTTCCCAACATGCTAGCATGATGTGGTTGGTACCAATGGGTGCGTTAGTTAATCTGGTTTTATATGACACCAGTATCTTCGCTCTAACTTTAAAGTCGATGCATCCACTAAACTTTTTGGTCCAGAGGAACAGACTTTAGTAGAAAAGTTCCAGTTTGAAACTAAAAATATGAAAATTAAACCTAAAAATCTCATTCATGCATTGAAGAATAAATCAGTACACTACAAAAAATGTAGAAATAAATGGTAATAATCTGGTGGCTGAAGTGCCAAAGAAATACAGTAAAATAACTGAAATGACTCATAAATAAATCTAACCAAATGTGTAAATCTTTTTTATTAATTTTTTTTGGCTTTTAATGTTTAATTTAATGTTTTTATTGTGAAAACTTCCATAATTATACAAAGATATCTGTCAATTAACAAACAAATCCATGTAAAGTTACACAACAAATACTTAATTTTCACTAATTTTCACTAATTTTCGACATTTAACAGTATTAAACTTGAATTTAATACTTTATTAAATAAACAGAAAAAATCTGCGAAAATATTCTAGATTTGCTAAATATATTTATATGTGAACAAAAGGAAATTCTCTTAATAATAATTTTATGATTATTTACAGATTGTGACATTAAACATGTAAATTCAAAGACTATGTTTGAATAATATTTCCATGTATCTGTAAAGTAAACCTGTAATCTTGTAGTTTGCTCTTTCATACTGTGGCTGTAATGAGCGATGCAGCCTCTAGGGGGCGCTAACAGCACTTTAGACACCCCGCAGTGTTTCCTCCAGTGTGACTTTACATCAGCGCCTCGTAAATCACCTCATAAATCTCCACTTTAATTGTCCTTTTCACTT